AACATATGAAAGGTGCGTACAGTCCATCACAAATGGATTGGTTTTCTTCACTTTTTAGAGTATAGAGAGAGAGAAAGCTTTTCTTATCTCGAATTTTATTCTGTGAGTTTGGGAAGAACTCAATACTCTTAATTAGAAATTACAGACAGGGAGGTGACACTGAAAGCCCACTTTAGAAGAACGTGTTCTGGCCAATCAAGACGTGCTGTGCACATAGAAAGTCGAAATCAATTAGACAATATGAACAAATGTTTGAGATAGAAGCATTAAACATTTCGCTAACAAAAGACACGTAGCCTAAGCAACAGTAGACGGGGCGGATAAGAGTCAATACACATAGCGTATACGTATATGAAATCGTTACAAAGGAAGCGTGCCCTGAAACCGACGAGCTCTGACAAACGAATCGAATCTCGGGGCACACGTAGACAAGCAAAAACATGCAAGAGTGGGGCTACGCCAACACTAACTATTCAGAGCGAATAATGAAAGGGCATTAAATATTTCCATTAGTTAAATAAATAATCAACAGCGAAATGAATGATTGAGCAGGTCCATGGGCTCAGAGAAGACTTTAATTTCTCTGTCACGAGCAGGCGACACAGATACACCCTCCAAGCGATTGCCACACAGCACACCTGACAAAGGTCATCAGAGATCGGCTGTGGCATTGGCGTCGACGCTGCGTACACAAACCAAATGCATACCAAAAACCAACACGCCTGCAATCCGTGTGAGGGCACAAAAGATGTCACTCGATGCTGTCCATGTGAATATTACATGAGTATCTCGGCGTCCCCAGGCAGCGGCAGGCAGAGCCACATATTGACCCATTTCAACATCGTCAAACAATCCCCCAAGTGCACAGCCAAGCACGGAGTAGAGCACACCACGCGAGACCAGACAGACGGGCAGCCTGCCAGCCAGCCTATCCACTTTTCAAGCGCGTTACTTCTTTCGCTTAATAAACCCAAATGCCACCAAAATCAAAAGGAAATGCCACTTACGCCTAATGGCATCACGGAGGGTCTGTGGCTGACAGCTGAATCGCCCGAAACAAAGCCAACAACCTACGCACAAGCACTACCTGACAACGTTAACAACAAAAGCAACAACTACAACATACGAAAGACTATGTAGTCGTAGTGTAATTGGTTATTCGTATACCCTGTACTCCTAGAAAACGGAGATAAAAGAGTTCAAGAGTTTTGCACAAAAATAAGTAATAGGCAGTGCACAGCCTCATCTTTATTATATTATATTCATGGTAAATTCTTAACTCTTGCGCTAATTCCCAACCTTTCTCTAGCCATCTTATCCCATAGACAATAATTAACATGGAAACTGGTCCGCTTTAACCTACCAGACACAACAACGGGAGTAGCTAACAAAATATTAAAACAAAGCAATTAATTTTTATTAAAGTCCATATATTTTTCGCTCACTCTAGAGGGTGACGCAGAAAGGATGCTGCGGGGCCAACTTGGTCAACCAATGTTCCAATTCAAAGTGAAGCATCCAAGCTGTGCAGTAGCAGCCATAGCAACAGCCACTGCAGCAGCAACCGCAATCGAACCAAGCCAAACCCTTTCGAGCTACATTATGAAAACGCACCCGCATATGCTTGTAATACCCAGTGAAAAGCTCAAAGTTCGCTTCCCATTTTACATCGAAGCCATATGACTCCAAGAAGGGCATATTGCATGTGTGCAGTGGTTGGATTTTGGTCTCTGGGTGATGCAGGGTGCTTTGCCGGCAACGTTGTGCTGGTTAAATGCCCAAAGAGCAATCCAAAAGTTTTTGTTAATTAGCAGGTTGACCCGAGGGTGGTGCTCGGTTAAATTAATTAATGCATAGATCTTAACAAATCATATCGCAGATATGAAATAATATTTACTTTCCAAGTCTTGATCGAGCAGGCAAGATAAATCGTAGCAGTCGATGGTAATTATTAATTAATTGATTATTCATTTTTAAAATTTGTATTAAATCAAAATATATTTTCCCTTTAGTCAATAATAGTTAAAAGGGTGTATTTATGATTATACATGTTAGCGAGTTGTATCTGTTTACTCTTTGAGCATCTTGTATCTTCCATATATTGCAGTGAAATGTATTTTAAATTGTTGTAAAGTTAACTTACTGATCCAACGCCTTAGAAACGGCTTGACAAATTGTTTGACATAATTCAGGACACTGTGTCGAAGTCCTTGCCGGCAGCAATCAAAAGCGCATTTTCAACCTACCCAATGCAGGTCCCAGGACAATGAACAGTTGCTCATTAGGGCTGAAGCGTTTTCCCAGGCGCCTGAAGCAATTCAGAGCTGGAGGAGGCCGAAGGGCTGAACAGACTCGCAGCTTTTGTATTTTTAATGCTTAAAACAAATAATTGCAGATAAATGGGTGTTCATTGGAGAACACAATGACATGCATTGACATTGGCATCTTCATCATCTTTATCACCCAACGCAATGTTAAAATTTAAATTATAAAATGTAAAATTGCAGTCCACTCAAGTGCAGCGAAAATCATATTAATAAAAATAATGAGTTGCTGCTGCAGAGAAGCAGCTCGAAACCCGATTTAAAATTGAATTGCTCTGCGCCGATTGTTAAGTAGAAATGTCAATTTGACAGCTGCTGCTGCTGCTGGGGCCAGGGTGGAAATTTCGTCGTGGCGACGACGCGACCCTTGCATTTGATGACTTCAACTCAATGTCAACCGAATTTTAATGATATGTCAGTATTTCATTTAATTCAACTTCATTTGCGTGCAAATGCATCAAAAGACCCGTGAGAACCGGTAGAGACCTGCTCGGCTTGCGTGCTCTTGCTTTGCCTATTTTACGGTGTGTCTTAAAGGCATAGAGAAAGCTCTTTCGTAGGTATTTACTTTTTTATACTCTTACATACATGCACAGTAAGATGAAACTTGCGCAAAACCTTTTTCATTCTTTTTATTTGGAGCATATATCCAAATGAAGAATATATATGCCCTATAGAAAATCCCCTAAAGTCCGAAATGTGTGCCTATTACAAAGCTTAACGCGTTTTCTTATAAATTTCTATTGTTGAGTTTCGGTGATTTATCATAGAAACACAATTTGATTTATACTTACGAACATTTGGAAGTATAAATTGAAAAGCGTTGACTAAAGATAGTAAAGTTACCATTGTTGACATCGCAGCGCCAGGAGCTGCCGGCACTCCTTCATGCAGCACATGTCTGTAGAAATTTATGGCCGCGGATTACAAGCAACAAAGCAAATTATTTTCTAATTTCTTCTAATCACGCGCTCGTCTGCTCACTGGATAGCCAATCCGATGGCTCGAATTGTTGCAGTCAAGCTTGCGGGCGTTGCTTTGATCAGTTCGCGTTGTCGCTTGTCGTAAGGCGCCATCGTCGGTTCGACACAATCAAAATACATTTGACATTGATTAGTTTTCCAAGAATTTTTAACACACATTTCACGTAAGCTGGGGGCATATGGACGCAAGGTGGGGCCGTGGCCTGTGAAATGTGAAATGTGGGCTCCGAACGACAGCAATCAGGCAGTCCATTAGACGGGCGTGTTTATTTTTACGCTTCATTTAAACATTTCATGCAATTTCTTAATATCAATTTCCCCTAATTTTTGGTCTTCACTTTGGAAACACGCAATGCATTTCGTAGCTGGTTCATCGGTTGTCGCCTTTGTCCTGCGAAATTTTGAAAGACGCTCACAAATACTTTGCTACATATTATTATTTCTTGTCATACTTGTATGATATTTGAACACCCTGTTGCCATTGAAAGGGGACATAGAGTAGGTATATTAGTTATTTTAAAATGTATGTAACAGGCAGAAGCACTCGTCTCTGACCATCCCATGTACATGACATCGTTATATGTATAGCGTTTAGGACAAACAATCAGCAACTCATTTATTTTTATTGCGACAGCTTGATACTGGCTACAGAGTATCTCCAAGTTGTTTATCCTTAGAACACTTACTGGTTTTCGTTGGTGCTTATCGTCTTTGTTGTGGCACGTGGGCTCGAAACATTCTGAGACTTGAATTTGATTGGGGTGCCGGTTGGGTGCGTCCAGTTTTGGTTGGCGTGTCGTTAAAATGACAAACTAAATTATTGACCTGATTTTGAGCTACGGGTTTATTGAATTGACTTACCAGCGTTGCTTTTTCTTATATATTCTATTTTTATTCATGGGTTAAACACGAATTCGAAACGGGGTTTGTGTTTTTGCTATAATAAAAATCGAGGCTCCAAATTCAACATGTGAGTTCTCTGGTTAAGAATATTTATCTTTTTTCATTACTTCCCATTTCTTACCCCAAAATTGGAAAAGCTATATGCCCAATGTTTGCCCTTTCACTTATGGGTGCCCATATTTAAAATTGAATCACTTCAAACTTGGAAAATTTGTGCAAGTTTGAAATGTCCAGATATGGTAGGAAATTAGTATTTACGAAGCATGAAGGCTTACTCTTTGTTTCCACATGTATTTGACATCGGTTTCATCAGCAAAGTGATGCTAGTGCGAGCGACTATGGCACGGTGAGATTAACATTTTGTTCGAGAAATCTGTCAATAGCAGAGTACAGAGGCCCCTAAGAACCCTGGCTGGGCACAAAGGGAGCGCCACGAGCGTCAGCTGTAAGTCATGTGACACATATTAAAATTGACGCGGTAACAACGAGTGTTGCTACCGGCAAAATGCGTGTAGCCAACGAGAAACTGCACATGATTTGGCTTTTAATAGTTGCAGGAGGGTTTGCATTGGCACGGAATGTCAAACTCTGAATGTTTACTGGTTTTCAATTTTCTTTTATTTTTTTTCTTTTTTTTTTTACTTAATTCAATTTTGACTTTCATGTGCTAGTGCAGTACACCTGAGGTCAGGATTGGATATGCTTCATATTTGTCCTTCCATTGCGGCAATAGAATCAATGAATTTTGTATTTATAAAATTATGCCCAAATAACGAATCATAGGAACAAATTAACAGGTGAGGTATCGCTATTTAATGTTGTTTAAAAGTCGGTTACACATGCTCTTGTTTAATTATATTAACACCATACTCTTTTCGGTTTAAATGCTGCAAACCCTTTTACTTTTACTGGAATTTTTTTAAACTCGCCCCATTTTGGCACCTGTTTGAACTTTCGGAACCGCTACAGTTTTAGCTTGGGCCAACCACATAGATCTGTTGTTGCCCTTCATCTGTAACCTGTGGACGTGAGATCAATCGAAATAAATATGTTGGCTGCGATCTTATAATTTATACGTACATCAAAGATGCTTTTAGCTGGCAGACTCTTCTATCTACATTGAGCATCTCTATTCCAATTCCCTATGGAAAGATTTCACATAGCAGGCTTTATTTCAACCTAAGGTTATTTGAAATCGTTCGAAACGTATTCGTCATCCAAATGCTAAACGGGCCCCATAGTGGCTATCGCCGTAATGAGCAGTAGCCACCACCTAGCTGTTTCCGATCTACCCACACAAGGAGCATCCGCATATTGCAAAATAGATTGATCTATGGTACGATGCCCGAAGTTCTTTGCTTTCATGCAGTTGTCCCTGAGTGCCGCCATATAAGTCAGGGGCTTGTCGTAGCAGAACATCCTAGAGAGCGCCAATTTAAATTTGTCATTCGAGTCGCATTCGAAGTTGTTAGAGTCTAGCACTCTGAGGGTGCTACAGTTCATGATTGGCGAGTAGTACATTGTAACGAAAACAAACAGCATTAAATGGTTTGGCGCAAAGATTGCATACGGAATATCGGTGTCTGCATATCCGTCTGGATACTTGAGTACCAGTTGCTTTGTTAACTGTCCAGTGCACTGCATCTCGAGGCGCGTTCCAAAGTAAAGAGAGCAATTGCCAAATGAGCCACGAATAGCCACAGAATAATGCAGGCTACTTAAAAATATCACTTCCAGTAATTTTGAAGTCTTTATAAACATGCTATATACGTATATATTTCAAAGTGAATGGAAATTAAAAGTGAACTTGCCAAAATATATTCACGGGGTTAGAGAACATATATTTTAAATACAATATAAAAGTTCTTTAACTCAGGTAAATGCAGTCTAATTAAAATGTATGGTATATAGAAAGAGATCAATTCAGTCATATGGAGACGAAGGCTCTATTAACTTTGGTTATTGATCATCGTGAGTTCAAAGATATATCCCTGTTACATACAATTGCACAAAGGCTCTGAACCCATTTGGATTCTGTTATAGGAACATCTTTTGTCATTGCAATTAAAACTATTAGCTTAGAAAGTCTTTCCGGCTCATTCAAATTGTTGCCTTACGCTGAGAGGAGCCCTTCGCCTGGCACTGAAGTGCCAAAAACTACTAGATATTTTCCAGCTATTTGTTATAAACTGACGTGAGTTGTTAATATGAGCAGCATGATGATTTATTAAAAAATGGCTGTGCTATGTTTCTTGAGAAATTCGGTTATGCCAATCCCAGAAAGTTAAAGATCTGTAGTTCTTCCACCAAGTTCATACCATATAAAGTGCGTTCTTGCATAAAAGTTCCATATTAGATAAGTTGAAATCTAATTTTGATCTAAAGCTGATTGTCAGGTTAATAATTGTCAGTTTTAGTGAAGCAAGCTAGTAAATTAAAATTCCAAATTTACAATGAAAAGCGAGATTTTAAAGTTGCTTATTTTGAGTATGCTGCAGAGCCAATTAAAAGGAGAACCCCGTCATGACAACAGTTTGACACCGCCCTATAACACAGGAAACTGTTCCGTATTTAATGACATCATATTCACCAAGGTTTGCAAAAATACTATTACCAAGTCAATGGCTAAGCAATGGCGCGATCTAAGAGCTCCAGAGGGTACTCCGTACACAGTGTGGCAAACCTCGGAAACTGGAAAGCTTATTTTATTGGTGTCATTTCACAAATCGCCCCTCTTCGACTGTGGCTTGCTGATATTAAAATTGAAAGGGGGGGAATACACAATCACAGCTAAAACTTTACAGGATGCAAAAAGCTTTTACGTTTACCAGTCTGATTTGAAACATTCAGATATACACTGCCTCAACATTGATTTGCTCTATCCAGCAGCTTTACACGCCCATTGCGAGAACAGGAATAGTGACAATTTTGAGGAGGCCAATACACCGATACTGCATTACAGCCGCTACGATTATCAAGTAAATATTGGGGATATGCCTATTATACCGGAAATGTTGGTTCTTCTATCAGCTGTTGTTATTATATCAGTTTAAATGCATTTAATCAAGTATAAACGTATCAGAATATCCAATAAAGTTCATAAAAGCTCACATTTTGTGATGCTATGGTATTCCATTAACAGAGGAGGAATATCGGATGAACGGTGTTTTGGATATCCGTTGAATTGAGTTTTCCTTAATTTTTATTGTTCGGAGATATAGATAAACCTTCTAGTCATACTTGAATGGAATGCAATTAAAGAGTGCTCAAGGCTAGAATGCCCGACTGCCAGATGTCCCGAATCCAATAGGACTACAAAATCATAGGAATTGTCTTGACCATATTTTTTAAAACTAAAAACATGCCACTTGCTTCCTACTCTATTGAGGGAAATTCATTCTAATTCAAGAGGTATTGTGCATAGTCCGATGCTTATACAATATTTATGGAAATCGAATTTAAGTAAAAACTCAGACAGTTATACTTCTAGACAAGCGGCTTGTTTAATTTTGGGGAATATGTGTATAGCTCCAAAAATCATGATTATAAAACAAACAAGAAGTTTGAATTTTTGTTTAATGTTTAAAAATGTTTAATTAAGATAATTGAGAGTAGAGTCTTAACCAGGAACCAATCTTTAGTTCCACTTCCAAAACTACAAACTTAAGTTCAAAGACTGCATTATCAATATCGAAACAGTCCGTAAGTGTACTGAAAGTCTAAGAATATCTATTAGGCGTCGTGCATAATATCTGTAAAAGGCCATTGGATTGGGCTTTTTCAGTGTCAAAGGTTATTCCAACAAGCCACAACCAGAAGAAAATCCAAAGCTGTATCAACGAAATTCAGCCACCTATTTGCAAAATGGCCATAAAAAAGAGAGTGTGTTCGTTCTTTCACCCAATCTTCTTTTTCTTACATAACCCTATCTTATGTATTTAAAAATAAACAACTGTGTCTAAAGTCAAATTTTGCGTGAATTGTGCAGCACAATAAGTGTTCACAACAAACCGTTTTCTGTGAAAGATTACTCGCTTGGGCAACCGCTGCGTGGTGAGACTTCTCTTCTACTAGCAGTCCCTAGTTGTCTTCTATATCCATGATGGATAAAGGGTCAGGAGGTGTTTTTATAACCTGAAACTATTAAACAATGGCTTGTATGCGTATGTAATTGACAAAACGCACTATCGTCTTAGACAGTATATAAATTCTTGATAAAAAAGGCGAGCTAACTCGATCTAGACCTCGCTTCTCTGTAGATCTGGAAGGTCGTGCGCAGAGGAGGTTTTTCTATTTAGATAAATCCTTTTCCCCTTTTTTCGATAAGTATTTATTTTATAATAAAGCTACTTAGGCGTATCTTGGAAATGTATGTATATGTATAGAAGGCAATGGCGATGTATGTTACGACAGGTCGGCGCTGGCCGTAGGGTATCTTTTAGTCTGAAACTCCCGACTAGAGCAGTTTTATTTGTTTACATTGATTTTGGTGTCTCATTACTGAAAAAATAGTCAAAAATGCCTTCAGAATTATTTGCTGGAATATTGTAGGCCATGCCAGTAAGTCCCCAATGCGCAGGAGCTTACAATATCAACTTGATTGCTTGCTGGCTGCTGCTACTCCTTTATCCCGCGAAAACATATTCGGTAGGCTTGAACAACTGTTCCTTCATAGACGGTAAAATAATGGAGTTCGTCTGTCATGGATCGTATGAACGATACTTGCGGCTGCTTTATAAGGATCGACATCCCGCCTTACACACGCCCTACTCCATCTGGCAGCGGGCTGATCATTTTGGATCGTCAATGCTGCTCATCGTTTTCTACGAGGGTCCATTGACTAACTGTTACAATATTGTGCTAAATGAAGGCAAGATCTACTGTAATGGTCGGAACTATCCTATGGAGATTGACAGTTCCATCCTAATGTTTTGTATGCCCTTTCAATTTTCCTACGCCGACGAACTGCACAAACAGTGCAAAAAAGGTAAAAAGAAGAAGCATTATTCAACAACCATTTCTTCAGTCATCATCTACATGGAGTCAAATTTAGTAGTTGCTTCAAGATCTTCCAAGTCTCTGTATTGTTCGAATCTTCTCGTTATAATTGTTTTGCTTTTACGATTTAAAATTAAAATAAAATGAATAAATTCAGTTGGTAAAGAATAAAAACAAAAAGATCCTGCGCGTTCATGGTATCATGATTCATGGTTCATGATTCATGGTTAAATGTATTTAGCGCGATCTTGTATTTGGGATGAGATTCGGGGAAATAAGTGTACTACCTATCAGATTTTGGTTCTTTATATCTAAATTTACGTTCATCAGCATGGTCAACGAATATTTTAATATTTTCTTTTCACTTCTTGAACTCAGTATGCACAAGTTAGATTGCGCTAGTCGGGAGTGGCCGACCATGATATACCCTGAATCCTGTGTCAGGCTATCTATACGTACAAATATACTCTCCATACATTCAGATTCAAAAGCATATGATAAAGTATATATAAGAGGCAGAAGGCAGATTCTATGACCCTGTAAATCATTATACAGTCTTGCTGAACAACAATAATCCAGTCGATAGAGATAAAAATATCGATTGGATTGAATAAAAAATAATTGCAGGTTTGATTGCTTATATAGCAGGTTGGAACGGCGTATGGGATAGGGTGGTGTGTATTCGAATTCACCAAACAAAATTACCTAAATGATAATTGAAAAATTATTTATAGCGAAAAGATATCTCATTGTCGAGGACTCTTGTTTTCAATTCTCTTATTTCGAGTAATGACTGAAATGTTTGTCTGGCGTTAAAGCATGAGGCTGACGAAGGCGCTAGCCTTTTATTTGCAATAATTAAAGTTTTCTATTAAATGAGCGTGTTTATTGTCTACGATTCCTTTGTTTTGGTAGAAGGTTCAGGGAATTTTCTGGCCTCACACTCCCTCCTCTATATCACTGTCACTCATATAAACTGTTGAACACATAGAAAGGAGATGAAGAGCATCCCAAGGTATAAAAGAGTTTCAGCGTAACCCTTTTCCATTTTCACATTCATACAAAAACTATAAGAAACACCAATGCACTTCCACTTTTTCTGGATAATCTAGTAGCTGATCTACTCTATTGAATTCTTGCAGAGAGACGCTATTAAATGATTTGTTTCACAATAAATTTATATTTGAGCAGAACATTTTTCAACACACTCATTTGAGTAAATTTTGAAGCACGCGTTGATAAATTTGAAGAGGTCGACGATTTCCCATAATTTGAAGAGCTCCATAGATGGCATAGCGGCGAAAATCGAATGTAGCCTTTATATCTGCTTCATGTATTCCCCGATCGCACTTTTTAACAATATAGAGCAAAACAAACATGGAGCAAACCGACATTTGTTTCAAAATAGAACGCGTCATTTTGAATTTGATAGAATGACGTTTATCGCAAGACTTCCCACTATCTGAATCGGATTGAGAGCTACGAACTAGATAAAAACTAAACGATTTGTCTGGGAATTTTACATATATTCGCCTCTCCAAATTCACTGTTTACATGAGGTGACTAATTTTGATTCTCAACCGGTTCTAATGTGAACAAATGTTGCTGAGTACTTAATTTGAATAGTTTTTTTTGAAAATGTGGCCATCGTACCACATTAAATATATCTCATAGTTTCTACAGCTTATTTTGCGCCACACTCCGCTGTATTGGTGCCTTATATCCAAGTCCAATAATAGTTAAATGGGTGCGCAGATGTTAACTGTTGAGCTTAAGCTTGAATAGGCCGAAGATCTGTTTGTGTGTGTGTGCATTTATATTTTCAAATTGTTATCGTAACATTCACACTCAAATACACAAAATGTGCGATTTTTTTTTCTCAAATGGAAACCAAAAGACGAGCTTTCTTTCTGACCAAATATTACACCCACAAATACAATCGCAAGCTACGCGGAGATAATCTTGATTAGTTCAGTGTGCTGTGTGAGAAATGCTAAATATGGACAATAGCTTTTGCTCGTCCTGATTTTTACGCATGGCTGATAATGCATACACTTGCCCGAGAAGGACATTTAAAAGTACAGCGAACGAAATGCGACTCTAACTGAGCTTGATTTTAAGTGAGCCTTTCACTTTTTAAGCTTTTGTACATACACGTGCTTGACGACGTTTCTATAAATACAAAAAGGGATACAAGTGTGTGCTCAATGTGCTAACAAGGACGCACAAAATGGTAAGATTGTGCACATGGATGTTTGCAACGATTTGTGAATAAACACAAACAAGATGATGCTGGCAACGACATTAAAGGCTTGATAGATATTTTGAATGTTGCCAGGGATCAGCCAGTTGTATTCAAGCTTCTAGAAGGTACGAAATAGTTTATGTATTTAAGTGTATAGTCTATTTTTAATCCTATCAACTCTACAGCTGTGGTCCATTTGAGCCCATTAATAATATTTTTTATTCAAAGCAAAAACAGTCAAAGCATTTTATTCAATTTACTTTGATTGAATACAATTTTGTATAAGAACGCAGAAAAGGGCTGCTAACATAGCGCAGGCCAATTTAGTTTTTCATCCCATTTTGTGCAATTTAACTCTGCCTACGCGGTCTCTTTTCAACAGTTGCTGCTGACGCTGAATGCTTTTTAGCGACTAATCCTTTGGCTTTTGGCTTGTAAAATAAAAATTATGTATACGCCAACAACTTCAAATGGGCCCAAATGGCGTTTGCGTATTCTCGTTGTTCTATTGATGCTGGTATTGTTGTTGGGCCCTGCATATTTCTCTGCACAGGCTGCCATTTTCACACCAAACAAATGCTAAAAGCCAGCGGTCACAGAAAATACAACTACACTCCATCGCATTCACGTTGGTCGCCGTGGCTGCTGCTGTGTACTGGTGTATCTATAAAATACGCAATTAAAAATGTTTCGAGAGTCCACATAGCCTCCTCGCGTTATGAACTTTTATGTAACCTACCACAGTTACCCATCTTTCGCCAATTGCTGCTTTTGCTCCATGGCATCTGGATTTGCATCCTTGTTTCTCTCGACCCACGCTTTGTTGCATCCACTCAGCGGTAGCCATTAGTGCAGGGTCACGGAAAAAATATTGTCTCTGATGCTAGAGCCCACTAGAGCTAGCATACACTCGATTTATAAAATATATACCAACAAGCGGGAGGTACCGTAGTATCTCTTTACCCTCATATATAAAATAAGTAATTTATATTCTGTTCACTCAGCGGAACGAGTATATTTTTTTGCTGCAATGCTCCTTCCTGTCCATACAATTGTCCGTAACAACTTCTTTTTTCCACCTATTTGAAGCTTTGAATAATGAATCGCGCTTTAAATAAGGTGTATCAATTTGATCGTAATTTCCAGTCGCAAGCGGCGACAAAACAACATGAACAAAATTCAATTTATTTTAAAAACCAAAGATCGCAATATAAATATAATGACAATATTTTTACACTAATTGCTTTAATGAGGACGCGGTCTGAGTTTAGACACATTACAAGATGGACAGCCTGACAGACAGACGGAAATGGCATATTTCCCAGGGTATTTCAAATTACAAATCAAAATTGTGAATAAAGCTGTTGTTGTTATACTTGTTTGCTCGACAGCAGTCAACAGCTGGCAGCCAGCCAGCAATTTGCGCCGCGCCTTGTAACTTGCAACAGTTCTGTTGCATTGCTGCAAAACCTGATGCACAATGCAAGTACGCATATATGCCACACTGGTTGGCCCTGACAGTCACACACAAGTTTGATATTGTTAAAAATTGCAAATATTGCCAGAGCAAGCTGCCGAGTCTGTCCTAGCAAAATGTGGCACTTGATTTACGTTTGCAATTGCTCGAAGCTGTTAAAATGCACGCAGTTCGTGACTGCTCAGTTTAGAATAGAGTTGGTCGCTGGCCTCACATTCGCAGCCTTGCTCTGCACGATTATGAAACATGCGCTTGAAACAAAGCACGACACTTTTTTAAAATGCCCAGCCAGGCTCCTTTATTCTTAAAACGCTTTATTTTTGTTGGGTTCTTATATATACATTTGGGCAAACTAATTAATAAAAAAGTTGGTTGGTTTGAACTTAATATAAAACTTAGTTTAATTTTAGTATGATCATATTTACTGTTTGGACTGCGTTGATCACCAATCAGTCAGTTATTCCGTACAAACAGCAACTGGATCAAAGGTTGCGGGCAACAAAGCGTTTATGTACCATCAGCAAAGTATTGTTGGAAACGAACTATTGTAAAACCTTTTTGGCATCTGCAGCTCTTAAAACGCTATTAAGAATGCAGTAGAGTGCGACAACGACGCGACTGTCGTACGTTTTGCATAATTCAAATGAGATTTTAAGTCGGGCACCTACCGTGCTCTCCTACGAACATAACAAGAGCAAGCCTGCACGACTAGAAGATATTCTGTATTAAAGAATGAACCTCTTCACTATGCCACAATAATAAATGCAATCTTTGATAATGCTGCTCTTCTTGCACATTAATATGATATATATTTGTAAACATTAAAGTACAAAGCGATACTTTTAAGAAAATCCCTTTTTTTCTACATTATATAGTTTGCCCTCTGGCCTTCATCCGAAGCTGAAAGTACACATATACTTTATAGGGCCAGGGGTGCCTTCTTCTACCTGTTATATACATTTGCACAAATCCAAGTTATACCTATTTATATAACCTATTTTCCATGGATGCAGGGTATAAAAAGCAATTGGCGTTGATGGCCGCCTTCAGCCGCAAAGTATGCAACGATTTATTTAAATAATAGAGGCAACGTCTTTCTTTACTACTGCATTTCCACAAATTTACGTAAGCACCCGCACTTGCACCCCAACCATACCACAAGAAAAGAAAGACAACGTACCAATGGAGGATTTGCGGCGTGTTAACGCGCCGAGCATTGCGTATGCAAAACAAACAAAGCGGAACTGTTCCCAGTAGTAGCTAGATACCACTCTCTAAACTACAAACAATGCGTTGCAGCTGCTTCTTGTAGATTATACGATGGTAGCCAGGTTGGAGATTTTAAACTATGCTTAGATATGCTTTTGTCTGGGAGGCTAGCATATATCACTGCTGACAATAACAATATGACAATTGGTAGTATATTTTGTGGAAATAATAATATATATGGTCCACCAGATTATATAACTTTAAATGTTTGGCAGAAGATTATTGTTCATAGATTTTTATATTCCTTCCAATCGAGCGTTCGTTTGTTTGTTTTTATGACTCACATTAAGTCGAGAAAACTATTGTCATTAGACTTAAGTATGAATGGCTTAAACCAAACCCAGACCAGACTGTGAACAATAGTGTGTGCTCCCGAGCTATAAAACAACAGATCGAACTTATCTTCATTTGTATAACACTTCAAAGAATACAGCGTTAAAATTAACAACCAAAAATTCAAAACACAACGAACCAGAATAAAGCGGACTATTATAAGCTGCTTACGTGTGAGCTCATGCCACCCATTTAGATACCTGTCCAGAGCGTGGGGGAAATAGCATTGCAACAACCATCGAATCTGACCCATTGCAAAACTTACGGTCGAAGCAACAGCGACAAAGCATGGAATATACCACAATTAATGGGGCAACAAAAATAAAATATTAAAAATCCGGACTGTCCTACTGTCCTCAATTGACCTACTAACTGAAGTAAAGTTCTTAAGCCCCGACTCAGGATTTTCTTTGTATAAGAAGATAGAGACTGTCAAATATTTCTCTATCTAGCTCTAACAATTTCTGCTGTGCTTTTGTCACCAATTATAAAATTAGTCAGTAAGTTTATCAGTCTCAATAATTTTAATAAATACAAAAAGTATCATAGGGGATATATATTTCCCTTTCTTGTATAAAGAAATTAAGTGCAGTCTATAAAGTGAAATTTCATATTTATTTAATAATTATACCTTATTAAGATCAGAGACGATTAAAATAATTCTGCACTAGATAAAAAATATTAGATATTAATTTTTCATCAAATTCTGAAAACTGTGAGCCAAACTCTTTGAATTTTCTTTGTCAATGGTGTTTACGCTTGTCTTTCCCTGGCGTAGATTTTGTTGATGTTTGCGACCGTTTTGCATCCTGCACTCCATTACACTGTTTCCTAATCATTTTTGAATCGTGGATGCGGCGCGAGGCAATGTAAAGTCTGCACGTTTTTGGTCATCGATTTAAAACTAATTAGAAGTAAGTTGTATTCTATGAGCAGAGCATATTGCACAGCAGTGCACAGTGGGCTATATCAACCTAATATATGTATCTCAGTGACCGCCAATTTTTGTTATAGATACAACGTATACATATAAGTTGGAATCTCTCCTTCACTTGCTTCGTAT